GCAGGAACACTACAGAATCTGGTCTGCTTATGCTTGAAGGACAAAAGCTTTGGTCTTTTAGAAATAAAAGTCTGTATTTTACCTCCAACCCTTCTTCTAAGCTCCAGCCTCCCATTCTCAACTACATGATTCAGACCCTGAATTAAGTCAGAAATGTAGACGCTGGCTACTAAGCTTAATAGTGAAACTTGCACAAGTTAGTAGGAAGGCACAGTGTCAAACTGTTAGCACTTAACCTAATTCAGTAAAAGCATCTGCTGGCCTCCCCACCCAAAAGGAGAGGACAGCAACACAGCCATTGCAGTAAGCAAAACCAAACTAAATGCAGTGAGACCTTACCCAAAGCCAACCATTTCAGATTCGGCCCAATATATGCCTGCTTTCCCAAGCCACCCCAGGAAGGTGTAAATAGTAAACTTTCTTCTGTTGCTTAACTCCTGCACTTGCCCAAAACCTGATAAATAAGACCATGGTCACTCTTCTGTAGTGGTTCCAGCATAGCACGATTACGAGGGAAAGGATGGGAGAGAGGAGAGAAGAGAGTGCAGGGCAGCAGGTGCAGGGGAGGGTTTACATGGACTCAAACTCATCGATGCGCTGCTTGGTGTTGCCCTGCCGGATCTGGCGGAGGGTCTTGTACTTGTCTCGGCCCAGACGCATGTTCTCAGCATGGATCATATCATTGGCTGTCTTCTTTGTTTCATCCCGAGCATTTGCCAGCTCAGAGGAAAGAGCCTTTGGAGAAGGGGAAACGGGTTAGCACATGCCAGAGACTCAAAAGCTGGACAAGGAGGTTACTTGCTGATCCTTCTAAAGATGCAATATCCATGGAGAAAGGAAGCAGATGAGCCCAAATTCTAGGCAATCTGCTCTAGATGGCCCTGCTTGAGCAGGGAAGTGGGACTAGATGATCTCAAGAAGTCCCATATAACCTAAACAATTTTGTGGTTCTCTGGAAGTTGTCAATATTTTTCACTAACACCTCAAGGCAGAAAACCTCAGGCAGCCTCTCACCCTATGTATCTTTGCTTAGCACAGTAAGAAAGGCTGTTTCCAATGTACTTCAGAAGAATAAAATAGAGGGATTCCTAAAGACAACAGGAACATCTGGCAGAATTTGAGCAATTACTAGTCATCTACCACAAAAGAAACCTGCAGCAGAAGATGAAGTGCACCTCTGTCACTCTGCCTGTGCATAACCACCACAGCATGAGGCAGAACAAGCAAAGCCTGCTGCCAGTTAGGCAGCTTAACATGACACTTGGGAAGTGCCAACAGCAGAACACTGGAGTTTCTTATGAGAAGGTGGTACAGCACTGCTCCCTCCATGCTGAGCCCCAGCAGGCTGCTCTCAGGGTTTTGCAATGCAACCCAGTCAGACAAGACAGTTACAGACAGCTGCTGGGCAGAAACTGGACCAAATTCTGCAATTCACTGAAGACAGAGCTGTGAACAGCTGTCAGATGGCTAGCAAGACTCACACAAGTACACTACATCTGACAGATGCTGCTTTTTGGCACTGCTTGAAAATACTTCACTACTTCTAATGAAATTGAGGGCAAGTGCCAGGAGACTAGATCTGCGCCTCTGCTCAATGGGTTAGCACCTAGCTGTCAAGGTCATGATCACCCCTCTTTCCCCTTTTTTTCAATACCAGCAATACCCCCTAGCTGCAATTAATGGCAAGAAGGACAGGAGTAGCACCCAAATACATATCCTCTCTGCTGCCAACTTCCTACCTTCAAGTGTTTCTGGACCCGTTCATTCTTCTCTGCCTCAGTGGTGCGCTCCTCCTCACTGCGATCTTTGATGGTGGCCTCCGACCGCAGCTCAGCGCTGGCTTCTGCCGCATTCTCATCCTGCTCATCATCGTGCTCATTCTCCGAGTGCATGGGCTCAGTGACATGAGGGGTGCTCATGGCAGTCTTCAACTCCTCTTTGGTCTTTTCTAGGTCCTCCTGCACCATCTGTGCCTAAAGCAGAGCACGACACAGGAAGTTAGTTACAGGAGGCCTTGCACCTCTCACACATTCAACTGGTGTGTTCCAAAGCTGCTCCGCCACAAGCATTTGCAAAGCTTTCTGCTGACTAATACTTCAGAGATTCAAGGAATGGTTAAATTCATGGAAAATAGACTATAGGCCTACTTAGTAAAAATACTTCTACATGGAATTAGGAAGAGGAATTTGGTCCACCAAGAAACCAAAGCCTGGTATTTACAACAGCCTCCTGTTCACAAATGGTCAGTAGAGTGTGGTACTTAGTGCAGTAGTTCAGGTCGCAGCACAGACTGAAGAGCAACTCCACAAAAAGTCCTGCCATTTGCTTAGGTTCTGCTTTACCTTCTGTTGCCACTCCTGAGCCTCACTCTCTTTCTTCTGCCTGGCCAGCTCCAGCTGTGTGATCCTAGCTGTGAGTTCTGCCATCTCAGCAGCCTGCAAAACAAAGGCTTTCAGTGGGGACAAAATCAAAGCACTTGCTAGCTGAAACATTTAGTCCAAGTCCTGAATAAAAACAGTATCTCTAGCATCTTTTGGTAAGCAGAAAGCTTTCCTGTAAACTTCAGCCCCACCAACATCTCCATGATACAAGAGAAAAGGAAGTAAAAATAAGTTTTTTGTTTGGTTGTGAGGTTTGTCATTTTTCTTCTCCTCCTCCAAACAGAGCTACAGAACACAATTCTTTGAATCCAAACCAGGGAAAGCAATTAGTGAGCTCTACATTCTGTTCTCAGCATCACAGAAAAAAAAAAAAAAAAGACAAAAAGAACAACAATTCAAATCTACTGTACAGACTTCTATGTAGGTACAAGTTCATCTGCTTGAGGCTAAAAATTAAGAACAAACTACACTTCCACACTATGTTTGTAGCCATGTTTGCTTCAAGAGCTGAGGTGCCTACCCTGTCACTATGTTCCCTACCCAAGCTTCAGCTCACCCACTTACCAGCTGTTCCTGAGTCTTTTGTTGATCATGGGATGCTTTCAATAGGGCCTCCTTTGCCTCCTCTGCTTCTCTACGTTCTTTAGCCAGCTTCTCTGCTTCATCCTGAGCTCGTTTTCTCTCCTGTTCCAGCTCCATGGCTCTGCGGGTCTGTTCTTCCAGTTCTGAAAGAATAGGGGAGTACAAATTAAGAGAAATCAAGTAAAGAATGGCAGTTAGAAGAGGAAGCTGCCTGTAACACCTACACTTCGAATGAACCTTTTCCTGCAGAGGGACAGGTAAGAGGGAGATGTAACATTGTAACTGGAGCAGGAAGGCTAAGAGCCAGGCCTATTCTAGGCCAATAGATTACTTGCCCAACTGATTTGCGGGAAAGCACCTATCCCAAAATTACATCCTTTAAGGCAGAGAAGAATACAGCACTTGGCTTGGGAACCACCACACTGTAACTCTGGGCAAGCAATTAGACAGGAATGACACCAGAGCACTGGCTGGTGTGACACTTGCTTCCCATTTTACTCCTCATCTACAGATGGTTTGGAATAAGACTTCCAACCAGCACAGGAACAACTGCAAGGTACTCTTGCTGCCAGAGGAGCATCTTGGCTGCCATCCCTCTCTTTAATGCAAGTCCTATTTCAACAGCTAAATATGGAGGGCTTACAGTCAGCTTCAGAAGGCTAAACCAGAACCCCAACACCAGTCAGCACCCAATCCTGGAGAGCCAAACAACTCAGAGGTGCTCATAGCTTTACTGCTTGAACACGTCTCACTCAGACTAGGCATCTAATGAAATACTGGAACATTTCATATTACCTTGCTGAGCTTTTTTAGTTTGCTCCTCAATTTGCTTGAGTCTCTCCATTAGCTCCTCCTTCTCACGTTCAATCTTTTCCTTCTCCTTTTCTGCCAACTCCCTCTTCTTCTTCTCATTCTCCAGCAGGGCTCTGACAAGGGGGAAGTCATAATGTAATTTCAAATTAACAGCTACTCAGGAACACTTTCTTGTGAAGCCATGAGCATGCCAGAGGTGCACACTACAGCACTCAGCTGAGGAGTTTTGTGCCCCTTTATAAAAGTGCAGATAGAAAAAGCTCTGCTAGCATTCATCTCAGTGGCAGGTTCACAATAGCAGTGTTATAAGGTAAATCTCCTCCTATCAAGATTCGTATTAGTCCCATCAAATAGACAGACCAATCTTTAACTACAAGAAAGTCCTAGTGGGTCACATTTGTGCCGAGTGTCATTTCCATCATTCCACTAGATCTACTGGAGCAGAAAGCAATCTGCTTTATTTTCAGCTCAAGCAGCCAAGCAGCTCAAGCTTTATTTTCAGCTGGCACTGCCAGCAATTTATTAAGCACAGGTGCAGTGACCAACCAAGTTCAGGTTACTCAGAACCCCACCAACCTCTCCATCTGTTTCTGATGCTTCTCCTCCCGAGCCTGTGCTTTCATCTGCTGCACCTCAATGGTATCTGGTTTACGTCTGCGCATGTAGAGCTCATGGTTCCCCATGCAAAGTGCCAAGATTCGTTTGTTAATCCGTAACCGAGGGGCATAGAATACAAAGTCCTTGGGACAAGAAAAAGGCATTAGACCTGCTCCTGTGTATGCAGCATGCTCCCAGACACTAAGCTTTCTAGAACTGCTAGCCAGCTTTTCTTAAGTGTCTAAATCATGGGTGGCAGCCAGAAAATTTTCTTTCAGGAAGGAACTTCAGCCTATAATACACGCAGGGCTGAAGAGCCCAACTTGCTGTCACAGTGTGCTGGACTTCTCGTGCAGCATCCCCAGCACAGCCACCTCTGTTGCATTACAAACACCACCAGGTGTGCCCACCAGGCACACACACTGACTTCTCCCACCTTTCTTCACACTTAGTTATTTAATACAACAGTCAGCCCAGGTGTCATGTTTTGTCTTACGATAGAAAGGGTGTTAAACATTAGGGATCATGCAGCTAAGAAGCCAAAATTTTAATTTCCATGTTGCTTCTTACTGGTGCTTTCTTGTCAATAGGCTTAATAACAAATTTCTTGTCATTGAAGGAAATATTTCTGATCTCGCTCCAAGGGAACCCGATTTTTGGTGTTAGCCTGTAAAAACAGAAAGCAAGAAGAAATAATAGTAATTTCAAATTCTTGACTTACAATGTAAAGCTCAAATTTTTACCAAATCTGCCCTCATATTCCAATACTCTTATGCTGACTGGCAAACAAAATCAGTCATGTAAATTAATTACAAGAAGCTGTTTTTCAATTACTTTTTTTTTCAAATGGAAAACAGAACTGGGGAATGCATCTGTGGCAGGAACAATAGGGATACAAGTTAAATTAGCTTGAAAAGGCTTGCCAATTTCTTGTATTTTTTGGTCCAAAGCCACACATTTTATGGATCATTCTTGCAGTGTCAAAAACACAGCCAAGAATCATACAGGAATTGTAGTATACTTAAAGGCTGAATTCCAGAAAAGATTAATTTTTAATGCCTTTATATTGGGAAAGAGCTGAAGGCAATGATGAAGAGAGGGGGTTTATTACCTGTCATTCTGCTCATAAATGTTGAGGCCAAGAGCATCTACACCTAGCCAGAGTTCAGAGCCTTTCTTGTTCTTAATGCTGAAGTAGTTCACACCGTACATTTCCAGATCCTGTGCAATTTTCAGGTACTCCAAGACAGCATCTTCTCTGCAGCATGCATAAAGAAAGCAGATATTTCTTTTTTAGTCTATAAGCCATTAGAGCAAGAAGGTGCTACCTTTCCACACGGGCAGAGCAGTATGAAGCTGAAAAAGGTTCCAAGCATCACCATTGCAGATAATAACAAACAAACTGCAAATTCAGTTTTATTTTACCAAGATCAGCCAGCTGATGTGGACTAGCAAGGGCAGAGACACATGAATCTAGTCACTCTGAGCACAATAACCTAAAGAATGCCAGCTCATCCTGAAGCAAGCCACAGTTTTTTGTATGCATTCATACATTACACACTAACATCACATACCACATTATGTTAAAAACAGCAGTTTCACACTGCATCAGTTACCTAATCATTCCTCGATGTTCCTCATGCCACACCTGGATCCTCTCCTCCCACTGGTCCTTGTTAAGCTTGTGCTGCTCCAGAACTCTAGAAAGAATACATGGAATGTCTGAGAACAGCCACTGCATTTATGCACACAGTCACATCACGCTCAAATAATGCTTCATCAAGTACTCAGCTGGCATCACAGCTCCCCCATAAAAATATTCCAGGAAACACCATTATAATATATACACTGGTCAGTATTCAGATTTCTCACAACTGTCAAGTTATATTCAGTTGTGCTTTCCCTATGGCATTACTTTTTGTTGTTTTGGAGCTTCTCTCACTACTTCTGATTAGAGTTTCTTCAGTAGCACTAGGATGTTTCAGATTAAAGCTCTTAATTAAATTAATACTAATCACAATCTTCAGAGAGGTACCCAACTATATTTTATTCCCAACAGTCCAATCAAGACATACTCCCAAAAAGTCCCAAACCCTTTAAGGCAAGGAAAGTCTAAGCCTACCCACGTTCACTGACCTCTGTGGGAGCAGTTTGTCACTTGCCAGGTACCCAGTCTTGTGCACCTCTTTGTTGAAGTCTCCGTATTTGGACTGGACGGCATAAGAAGCTAGAAGAACAGCTGTTTCTGGAGGGCAATAAATGTCATCATTCAGAATTGCCTCCTTCACTTGGAGGAAGAAAAGGCGCTGTGTGATGTCCTGGATCAGCTCTTCTGCCACATCCTCTGGGTAGAACTTGGCACGGAATTTGAAAAGCAGGGGGCTTTCTTTGCGTACATCCTGTGCTGTTACCTGGAACAGAGTTACCAGATGTTACAGCCTGCACACCAAGTGAGGGGGCAGGTTTACAACCTGCATTAGAAAATAAATCCTCCTAACGTAGAAGTGAGTGGGCAAAAAAGCAAAGATTTTCAGTTCCTTGCTGCTAACTACCTCATCACCTCTTTCCACAAGACTTATGACAAGCCACTAGTTATGATCAGGTTTGTCTCCAGGCAAGATGCTCACATGATCACTATATAAACAGGTAACTGGGAAGGGTAACAGATCTGCCTGAGTAACAACCAGAACAGGATGTAGGAGGACCAGGTGTGACACCATGTACCTTGGGGAGGGGTGTGCAGACTGACGGAAGGCAACACCAACTCGCTAATCTTGCTTCAGGTGTGTGGAGGGGCCAGAACAACAATACAGAGACTGATTTTGCTCCTGCCTTCCATGAGAAAGGAGCCCAGGACAAAAAAAGGCCTGGAGCAAACATACCTTTTTGTTCAATTTCAGCCATGTTGAGAAGCCCTTGGTGTCCTGATACTGAAGTCCAAAAAACCAGACCTCTCTTAGACCAATTGTCTTGACGACCTGTAAGAAAGACGATTAGCAAGAGCCCTGGCTATATGGGCTGATCTCACTGGTGGCAGAGAACATGTTAAAGGTAAGCTCAGACAAACATGAACATGACCACTGCCTTCTGTATCCCCTACTACAGTGCCCGTACAGAGATGACAGGGTATCTGAGGAGTTTTAAGTGGGAGATGTATTGTATTTGTCCATCTCCCACATTTCTTTATGGTCTGTTGCTATTTATAAACAACAGCTGGGACACCATTTTCCTCAGGTACTTAGAAACCAGCATGTACAGCCTAAACACAACTGCAACAGGTCTGATGGGTATAATAGCTGCCAGGAACCAAGTACACAGCTCCATTTTCAAATAAAACCCTCACTTACCATGCAAATGTACTACTCCTGGGCAACCCATGAATCACCCTGATAGGCTATGTCCTACTAGGCTGTGCTATTTTAAGATTTGTATTCTACTCCAGTGAAAAATGTTGACGTGCCTTTCATGCACCACTTTAATAAGTGGCACCATAAGAGGTACTGCAATGGGTAAATTGATATGCTGTCCCTTGTGCCAGGACAACGAGCACCACAGACATTAACTACAACACTATGTAAGTCCTCTCCTTACTCACTTCCCCCGCACACCATGGGTGCTATGTAAGCGTTAAGAAGACTTTACAGATAAACTGCAACAAGAGACAAGAGCCTCATGGGGGGGCAAGACTACTGCAGAAAAATGCCACTGCTGGGAAAAAGAAGGAGGACGTTTCTTGGTGAAGCCATTAGCACAGGCCACAGCTTTGTGCCCTGGCAAGCCTGGGACATGCCACAGGGTGCAGCAAGTCTGGAAACTAAAATTCCCTCACATCTCTCCTGAACCCCAGGAGTTGTTCTCAGACCTGCAAACAAAGCACTTATTTATCTAGTAGTGGGGGTGACAGGTAAGGAGGGTGGAGGGGAGAAGACCCTTGTCTCTAGGTCACTGCCTCCACACACCACCTACCCCTCAGTCTTGCTTGCAGCTTCCCTGCTTCAGGAGCCTGGTCATGTGGTCTCCCCTCCCCCCTCCCCCCGCCAGGTAAAAGGCAGTAATTTTGTATTGCCTTGACCCATGTTTTACAATTTCTCCCTAAATGCCTACTTCCTTTAAATTACTTCCTTCTTGGATCCTTCTGATGTGGTCTCTATCTTTGGCAAGCCAAAACCGAGGACAAAGGTTCCCCACAAGCACATTACTAGGTAGCTTCTTTAAGGCTTGGATCAGACATTTCTTCTGGCCTTACCAAAGCAGCATTAGGGCCCTTGTTCCTCTCAGGTCCAAAACCTAGAGGCAGCTCCCAGCAGAAGTGTGCTATTAGTTGCACACACAGAGCCAAAACCTATACAAGGTCATGGAGCCTACATACATCATCCCACTTGAATCCATGAGATTGTTCAGTCCATCCTTGCTTGAATATGAACTGAAGAACAGGACTAAAGTCCAGCATGAATACATGGCAGATAAACCTTCATTTGTGCACATCACATAGTGGGATGCACACAGCTAAGGAGACTTCTGGAGAAGGCCCAGAGTTTACAATATACATTGAAAGCCCCCAGTGCACAGGGAGGAAGAAAGGCCATCCCAGAGCCCAAAGAGGGCTCTGCTCTGGGCAACATTAACATCTGAATGGGGTGAAAGCTCTCTCCCCTGCTGCATGTGTCTGCCTGCCTCTCTTCCATTTGTCAACAGCTTATGCCTGGGAATTCAACAAGCTGGACTGCCAGCAGGAACTGAAAGGCACCACACTGAGGCCCTGCACAAAAGGACTTTTATTCTACCACAGAAGCCTGCACAGCAATAGACGTGACAACAGGCTGGACAGAGGAGAGGGGGAGACAGCACAACACAAAGCATCACACCCCCAAACTGCTAATGAATCCCAAATGCAGCACAATTCCTTCTCAGGAATTACATGAGCTGCAAACTAAGGCATGCTGTGGCTCGTTGGCCTAAACATAGACCTGGCCCATTCAAACTTCATCAGGCAACTGCTTTCCAAGTAAATCCACATGATGGCAGGATGGGGGAAACAGCCCTTTTCCCTCCTTCCCACCTCAGCTTCAGCAGGTTTCATTTAGCAAGTGGAAAAGCAGAAAGAAGGAATAGCTTTCTACAGCTGCAAGGATTCTGGCTGGCAGCTAGCCATTCAATTATGTTTGGGGGTGTTGAGCATTCAGAGCCCTGAAGAACTGTGAGATGTTCCAAAAGCAGTTACTGGCAGTGGCTAAGGATGGAGAAGGGCTGGCACACAGGACAGGAAAAGAGAGAGTGCTGTTCAACAGAGAACACTACACTTAAATATCTAAAGTTTACACTCTCAGTTGGAGAGTAACATCTTTCCTTTGTGGCAGGCAGAACATTAAGTCTGTCCCTGGGCATTGTTGAGCCCACAGTACAAGGCTTAGTCTACAACTGGCAACAGATTACAGGAGCCTTAAAATCCAGCAGCCCCACAGTACTTTGACGTTCCCCATGACTCTCACCTCACCTTCTGGTGATAGCCTAAGCATACAGTAGGTCAATTTAGTTTTTTACTTATGTTCAGAAAAGAAACAAAATCTTCTGGGTAATATTTTCTCTCACTTCTCCTTACTCCACTTTTTCCAGATCTGAACAACACTTCCTATCCTTTATCTGCACACTCACCCATTTCTTAAAAGTAGATTTTAGCATCAAGATGATGATTGAAGATTGCTCACATTCTCAGCCCAGGAAATAACACCATCACACTGACCAAAAAGTGCAGATCCTCCAAAAAAGCACCATCCACATGGGCAAGACCAAAGCACACAAGTAGAAGAAGAGACACTCCACTCAAACCAAGCTCCTGCACTAAAAGCAAAAGAATCCTAGGCTATACTACAGCATAAGTCTGTCTTGAGTCTCACTTAATTAAAAGATGAAATGGGCCTCTCTCCCTTGCCTGCCAGGCATGTTGTATACTTCTGAGAGAAAACTGCTAGCAAACCTCATTGCTGGAGAGGCTCTGAACTGGTGCCACACCTGCAACTTCACCTGCCATAATCAAAACTGACTTTGAACGTTGTCTTCCAGGTACCCTAACTTTACATCCAAGATGGGCTCCATCCAAAGCCTTAAATATTTAACTGCTCCCTTCCATTTGGCTGATTCTTCAAGAACATGGATATATTTGTAGCTTTCCCCTTACAAGCACTAAAATGCCCAAGTGATAAATGACAGGATCTTTTTTGCGTTTAAGCTTAGTACAGTTTGCCATCAACCTCCTTCCCAACAAGCAGTACATTTTTAGTTGGGACTACTGTTTTTGGAAGAGCCAATGAGTTTCCACATGTTCCTGTGAAATCTGAGACACATTTTCATACCACTCAACCACAAGCCTTCCAGTTCTGGGCCCCATAGTTCAAGGACAGGGATCTGCTTGAAAGAGTCCAGCGCAGAGCTACAAAGATGATTAAGGGAGTGAAACATCTCCCTTATGAGGAGAGGCTGAGGGAGCTGGGTCTCTTTAGCTTGGAGAAAAGGAGACTGAGGGGTGACCTCATCAATGTTTACAAATATGTAAGGGGTGAGTGTCAGGGAGATGGAGTTAGGCTTTTCTCAGTAATGACCAGTGATAGGACAAGGGGTAATGGGTGCAAATTGGAGCACAGGAGGTTTAAGGTGAATATCCGAAAAAAATTTTTTACTGTGAGAGTGACAGAGCCCTGGGACAGGCTGCCCAGGGAGGTTGTGGAGTCTCCTTGGCTGGAGACATTCAAACCCCCCTGGACACGTTCCTGTGTGATGTGCTCTGGGTGACCCTGCTCTAGTAGGGGGGGTTGGACTAGATGATCTTTCGAGGTCCCTTCCAACCCCTAAGATTCTATGATTCTATAAGCTTTCATTACACAAACAAGACTTTTTTGGGGTTTGCTGGAGGAACCAGCCACTGTCCCAAGACTTGATGCTTTCTAACATGAAATTGCCATGGTCGGTTCTGTTTTCACCTACTCGAGTGTTTTCGAGCACTCCAGACCAGTTTCCTGCATACTTAAATGCTACTAGGTAGGACTCTGCTAAGGTTAAAAGCTTCTCTACAATCTGTCTCCACACAAAACTTCATTTACAGAAGACAAGTGACCAGCCACATTTATTTCAAACACAGCTCAACTCTGGAGTTACTCAAAAGTTGAGAGGGATTTGGTCAGCCTGTAGGCTGTAGCAACCATGAAAGCAAAGACTGACACTCTACAAAGCCATTACATTCACTGCAGCAGGTAGGCAAGCCAGGGCAGGGCAGGGCACATGAACTCAGAATCCTAAGTGCTTTGGTCCCTAATGAAAACTGTAGAGTTCCTTAAGAATTTAAAACAAAAATCAAAACCCAAAACCAACACCACACTCCATTAAATATTAGGCTCAACACGGAGCACAAAGTACAGCATCAGTGACTAGTTTTACAGTGAGCAGAGGTGTCCATTGTTACAATTTCAACTCATTGTCTAGGGGATGGGGTCTTATAGGAAGATATATATATAATTATGTTACTACACTGTATATCATGTCAGTATTTTTACAGCCAGCTACTCTGGGGCAGAAGACAGTTTTCCCACAAAGCAATAGAGTATCTGCATTGCTCTATCACTACAAAAACTCACTCTGGAATCTAACAAAGCAGGAAAGAGGGAAACAAGAACATTTCTACCTCAAGCCCATTCACCTATTATTATGATGGAATTTCAGATTCCAACTGTTCCTCCTTGTGAAGCTACTACCTAGACACAAACTTTCCAAAAGCCTTCTGAATCCTACTTGGAGTACTTCAGAATTATAGGTGGCATAAAGAATATTGTTATTCTACATTTAGACACAAGAGGTGGAAAAAAATGCTGCCTAAATATTACTGAATAAACCCAGCAGCATGCACCAAGGTAGTTGTGCAGATAGAAGCCTCAGTAATAAGCTTCTTGCAGCTCCTTTTTGCTTAGCTCAGATCAGACAGCTAAAAGTGAAAGGACATTTTAGGGCAAAAACATGCAGGATATCTTAAAATCTTTCTCTAAGTGGCAAAACCTAAGTTTCACATCAGAAAGTCAATGTGCTGCAACAGCAAAACTGTAAGCTTGTTTCGTAAACTCTCCCTTCCCTCAAGAAAGTATTTCATAAATCAGCTCCTTTTACAGAACCAGCACCAGGCAGAAAATACTAGATTAGCAATTCCAGCAGCACAAAGTAGTTTGAGGGAGTTGGAAAATGAACAGCCATAACTTTGTTCTTACACATCCCATCATGGGACCAAAGACAACCTTGGGACAGAAATGGAAGTGGAGTGAACAGATGACCTATCAGAGCACACCCCCTGCTTAGTTCCCCATGAGCAGGGAGAACAGCTCTGGACTAGCCCTTTATAGGAACTGACCTACACAAAGAGCTCAGCCATTTGAGACACAGCAGATACATCCCAGCTGACATACATGCAAAGCCCCGTCTCCATATTAAAGGAAGCAAGTTCAGCATTTACTGTCAGCTCTCAAGGCTCGTTTGGTTTGGTATCCAGGTTAGATCTTGCAAAGATCAATAATCTGTTTGCACATGTCCCTACACAAGACGTACTTGCTTTCCTTTATGTGCAAGTCTGACTATAGTCTCTTTTGCAACAATAGGGTCTTGCACTTTCCATTAAAAAAAAAAAAAAAAAAAAGAGATGGGCAGACAACATTCTGTTGTGTTCCTGCATTCAGAGATCAAGATGAAACTTTTCCCATTGGGGCAGGAGAATAGCTACCTCCTTTGCAATTAGTTTCCTTAACTGTAAGGGGCCAATTATTAGATTGCAGGTCACCAACAGAAGCTGGGTTTAGACTCCTTGACCACTCACAGAGCAGTAGCCTCCCAGACTCCTTATTCATATCAGAGGTGGAAGATTTTTGACATCCCCACATTTACTGCTAACTCCCCACTTTATGGCTCCCAACATTCTCAAGCCTTGGTAGAGCGTTAGTCCTTCTACCACCATCACTGTGGTGGTACCATACTAACACCACTTAGCTCTGCTGTGTCAGAGCCTGGACATCTGCCACTGATAAGGCTCTAGGACATCCTTATCAGAGGCCAACATCACTACCTCCAAAGGAAGTCTTGTGTGCTAGGCAGTAGAAAACAGTTCAGTTCTTATTCCAGTTATTGTGACATATGGACAGTATAACAAGATGGTGCCCACCAAACCTTCTAGGAATAGCAAGTGTTTAACAGCTAGCTTCAGACACTTGCCCCACTGTATTTCATCTTCCAGCTCCACCTGCAAACCAATTTAGCTGAAGCAACACTGCCTCATTTACGCTGGCAACCTAAATACTGTTGCAGAACTAAGTTTCTGTTTCCTCCCTTCACAAAGTGTTTAACTATGGAAAAAAATCCCAAAATTTCTGTTTAGACAGGTGCTGTGTGAAACACACTGCAGGGAGGAGAACATACAGCTGTTCCAGAACATGACACAAGGCAGTGAAATCAATTACTGACTTCCCATACTGGAAACTTGATCAGATGCTTCTGAAGTTGTCGAAGCCAGACTGCCACCACAATGTCAGTTCATAGCAAAAGCTGCAGATGCTCTAGAGCTGACTGAAAAAAACCCATACAGATCAGAAATGCTCCTGAATTCGGTGGCAGTGCTTTTTAGCACCTGCTGCTTTGCTTGGATAATGTCAGAAACCAAATATTGAAAAATAAACTAGCATGCAACTCAGAACTTTCCAGAAAGCCTTTCTGCTTTTCCTATGATGAAAGGATGCTGTTTTAGTAAAGCCTAAGATCTCATCCTATTCACTCCATGTCAGTGTTGGGCTGCAAAGAGCAATATAATATCTAGCACTGAATTACCCATCTTAGGAAGAGAGAACGTAGCAGTTTGTGGCTGAACATATAAAAAAATTAATGAGGTTTGCTAGCCCCAACTGAAATAGCTGGTTTCTATGGGTAGGTCAGCCCTCAAGTGTCTCTCTTCATTATGATAGGTATGATGTAGACCTGACCCCAGAACACATAATACTGAACTACTCCGAGATCTGATTTATCTGGTCTGGCAGACACTTAATCTTGTCATTAATCCAAGATTCATTTTACTTTTCTTTTAAACTATGAACTCACTGCTCAGATTCTCCTCCCAGTAGCAAATCCACAGCCTTCAGGATTACAGCATGAAAACACCGTGATACCTGTCAAAGTTTCAACCACTGCAATGGATAGTGTCTGTCTCTTGCTGCTCCAACTTTGTGCTGCACATGCCTCCCTGCTTCTGTTCGTACCAAAGCAGGAGGAAGTTCGCCCATCCACTGAATGCAGATGAGGGCTGAAGCACCCAGATGAAGACAGCCCAATACAGCCCGTAACATCTCTTAAGATTTCCCTCAGGGCCTGATGGGGAGTACAGAAGAGCACTTCACCTGCATTTAAGAGATGCAGCAACATTTGAAACCCAACTAAGCTACTCCTGTTTTAGACACCAACAACTCAGGTAAGCCAAAGATAGTTTGCTAACTCCCTCTTAAGACTTACTGTGAATGATACCTGCAGATCTACTGCTTTCCAATTATTATCAGCTATAGCACAAATTCATTTCAGTAGATGCAAGAGCAGCTCCTAATACATTCTTAGAGATAAAAAACTGCAATTGTTTTGAAAAAACGTAGCATTTCTTACTATGCTGAATTGTCTTGAAGTTATTATATAAACTGCCACTTAATCTTTGAAGTCCTTCTGAAATTGTTCACTGTTGCCTTAATAGAATCACAACATCTGTAACGACTTTAGATCTCCTGCAGCTCCATCACCTACCTGATCAAAGAGTTGCTTCCCTGTAGTGTTGGGCTGGATGGCAAACTCCAGCTCAGCATCCATGGTGGTAACACGCACACTGATCTGAAAGACAGAAAGCACATTGTTACAACACAAGCTCGAGGTCATACCGCCCAACAGTGGAAACCACCATCAGCCTAAAGCCAGGGCCAGGCTCCCAAGCCTCCAGAACTCCACTGCCAAAAGTCATCTGCCCTGCCAGCAGGGTGTTCAGTTTCCCTTTATAGCAGGACTTTCCTGTTCCACAGTGTAAGAGTTTATCCTATCTACTCCTACCAATATTCCCATCTGAACACCGACACATAAGCCATTTACCGAATATGAAGTTGAGCTTCTAGTGTAGAACATTCTGGCATCTGTCTCAAAAGCAAATGATTTTCCAAACCTCAGTACCCACCAGCAGACATCAAACCCTTCAAGTATCTGGAAGGATTAAGAACTTAGCCTGCTACAGATGGCAAATCCATACTAACAACACTGTTCCAGTCTCCATGGGTATTTGGAGAAATTTATGGCACAATCCTAGATATGCTCCAAGGGCTGTGGGTACAAAGCAGGCAGGACACAAGGACAATCTCATGTGCTAAGGAAAAAGACATGTGCTGAACTAAAATACACTATGTGCAAACAGGTCACAAAGCAGAAGTATCTCTAAGTAGTTGTCCACTGCTTTTCCAGGAGGTGAAAGATCTCGACTGCAGAAATGCTTCAGGTGTAATTTAATACTGCAGTCAAGATTTCATTACAACATTAGCCTAAAGAAATATAATGAATGATCTTCCGGAAGAAATAACGTATGACACACATCATCTTATCAGGAAAGTCACACCAACAAGTCTTCACATGTGAAATTAAAGTGGCAAGGGACTGCAGCAAAGGAGTTTGCAGTTTCATCCCACAGAAGCAGGAATACATCTGTACATCTTTCACCAATAGCTCTCACAAAGCATTGTGATTCCATTCACAAGTCCTGATCACTACAGGGGAAAAACAACCATACCAAAAAAAAAAAAAAAAAGAAAAAGAAAAAAGAAAAAAAAAACCCAAAACCAGATTTGTAGGGGTAGACAGGAATACTCCTGTCTGAATGCAAATACCTTAACTTCTGACTAGGCAAAGTAAGGCTTGCAAATTATACCCAGCTATCTGAGAATGCATTTCCATCTGCATACCTATCAACTGAAAAAGGTAAAGATATCTCACAGTTTCTGAAAAAAAGCTGCAGATATTTTGGATCAAGCCATGTTAATGCTTTTACATCAAGGCAAAAGTTCAAAACTTGCAGTCATACAGACAAGATATTCATAGTGCACCAAACCTCAGCATACAGGCCTTGTATTCATAGTTCTCTTTCTAGCCAACAGCCATTTACCCCACATCAACAAATACCAATTTATTTACTCTTTGGTGCAATAAATCCTCTTAGCACACTCTACCAGCCTTCTGGGGCGAGGGGCTGGAGGGGGAATTATGCTGTGAACAGTTTTAGTAAGAATAACTCAAACTCACATTTAGACTATAAACTATTCACGTGACACTAGAGACCAAAAAAAGCTAGAGTAAGCAGAGAAATATTCAAGGAACCACCTAATACCGACACATCACAGCCAGTTCTGATCTCTGTATTTCTATCCACTATATAGACTGCTTTCACCACTTTTTTTACTAAGAAAGCAGCAGTGGACTGCAAAAGAGCAAAAAACAGTGGGTTGTTTTCTTTTTCCATAAACAAGAAGCATTCTGCTAATTAAGTCTAAGTCAAGTGTCAAAAGAGACCACTACATCCAAACACATTTTTAAGTCTTCTAAAAAGCCTACTCAAGCCTAGTCACACCACTATTTTGTACTTGATATCCCCTCATGATGAACCTGAATATTTTCTTGCGTTAAGCTGAGAAAAATAATTAAGCATATTCTGCAAGAGGTTAAAGGCACGCTCAGCACAGCACAGCTGTCAAAAAGAGCTGCAGCTCTAACTGCTGCATGCATAAGGAAGGCTACTTAGACGTTATTGGAGCAAAGATACCATGAGCAAGCAGACCAGGAATAAGTCAGGTTTGAAACACTCTGAACCTTCTGACACAACAAAGTCAAACTGAAGAAAAAACATCCCATAGCAGTAGCAAGAAAAAAGCAACCAACCTTAACTCATAAGCAATCAATCTTTGTTTAGAATTAGCAGCTTTCAATACCATGCAGTTGCCTTAAGTTCTCTTCCTATAACTTCCCAAAACTACTCTCCTCAGATCCCAGATGCTGACTAACTGCACAGGGCTTCAATGGACCAGGAATCCAGTGCCTTGCTAGAAGGGCTGGACACTCCCCAAAACAGCTTTGTTACTTGCACTTGTAAGCAATCTCTTCTACCAGAAATGCTTGCAAGCATGACTTAGCCCAGCAGACGTACCAGCAAGAGCAGAGATGTCCATAAGCCATATCTAAGAGGTTTTACAGTACATGAGGCATCAAGAAACAGGTTGCTTTTTGTTTGTTTTAAAGTCTTTCCTGTTCACCTAAAACACTAACATAGCAACTGCCACAAAAGTCTTTTTGCTCCACTGTTCGTGGCTAAAACATAGTAGCTACTCTTCTATCATCTGCTTGAGTGATTGAACACTGAAGTCATCTGAGCACAAAGGAAGCCCCAGAAAACAGAACTGCAGATCTTTGCAACCTGTGCCAGAACAGCTTTTAAGCTATCCAGAGCAAATCAGACCTTAACATTTAAAATAAAGCTGCTTCACTAAGTATCCTCGTAACTCATGTGGAATACTTATTTTTAAGACTCACATCTTTGTTAGCACAGTAAAATAAGGTCCTGTGCTAGAACCAGCAAAATTCCTTCATTGTTACTCAAATGCACTTAAGCTATCTAACCGGTTACCCATAAGTTAATACATTCAATAGGAAAAGATTCACTTTCCCCTCCTCATAGAAACACCCTGTGCTCAAGATGAGCAGCAACGTAAGGTTTAGGTGCAGCAAAGCTTCTCAAATCCAGGCCATGCTATTTTGGAAGGCAGTGTGAGCTCAGACCCCACAGGAAACAGACCAGGGATCTTTGCCTCCCATGGCTCCCACAGCTCCACCACCTCGCTAGGAGCACTGCCCCGACTGGGCTGCATGTGTTTAACAACACTGTTGCCCTACTAATTTAGCACTTGGTTTGCTGTAAAACTGAGCTTTAAGCCTCGTTGGTGTGGAAACAATATACACAGAGTTTTTCTCCATGTGGTACCAGGCCAGTTTTTTTTGAGCCAGTTACAGAATCACAGAATCGTTCTGGTTGGAAAAGACTTTAAGATCATCAAATACAACCATAGCCTAACTCGACCAAGTCCAATGCTTAAACCGTGTTCCCAAGCCCTCCTAAACACCTTCAGGGATGGTGATTCAGCCACCTCCCTGGGCAGCCTATTCCACTGTTTAATTACCCTTTCAGTGAAGACATTTTTTCCAATACCCAATCTAAACCTCCCCTGGCACAACTTGATTCCATTTCCTCTTGTCCTATCACTTGTTCCTTGGGAGAAGGCACCAACACCAACCTTGCTCCAGCCTCCTTTCAGGCAGTTGTAGAGCTTCCTCTACAGCTTTCTCTTTCTCTTTCTCAGCTTTCTCTTCTCCAGGCTGAACACCCCCAGCTCATTCAGATGCTCCTTCAGAGCACAGGGCTTGTACTCTTCGTGAACTAGAAGAGCCAAGCTAGGTTTCTACCACTCCAGGTGGTTGGAGGCACTGCTCTCCACTCCCAACAGGTACGTCAGAGGCCTGGCAGTACTTCAGAGCACATGCAGATTTATCAAGAGTTTTGTGGCATTTAAAGAGCCTGAGTACTGGACAGAAATACAAACTGGTTCTCCTAGCATGAAATAAGGCTGAAAAACCAAGGACCAAGGGAGGTACATTCTGAAAAGTATCCAGGAGCCAGCTCATTATCAGCAAGTCAGCATCACTGATCTTCATGTGCTCTGCCTGCAGCTCAATCTACAAGAAGACATCTATAGACTGCTATAATCTGCACCTGACAGGTAAGTGCCAGGCACCATACGCTTGCCTTCATCCTCCTTATTCATGTGAAACCTTACTTCTAGTAAAATCCCTTTACTGAGACATTCACAGCTGAGTACTGCCCAACACAGACATTACACAAGGGTTACATGACAGGAGTGTTATACAAGCCAGCATGATCCAGTCCCACCATAATTTTGACTCTTCTGTTTGCCTTGTCCCTTGAGGATTTTCCTGCCACAGAACTTTTAAACCATTTATCTAATTTACCATCCACGTTTATTCTAAGAAAAGACTCAAGATTTTCTAGCATTAAGCTTTTACATTTTGCATTTCTGAACCATCTAATAAGGTTTTCCTAGGTTTGAGGGCTGGCATAACCACCAGCATGCTTATTACTTGGGTTGCAAAGAGAATAAAAAGCTCCTCAGTAAGACAACCAACATAGATGCTTAGAATATACAAATCTAGCTCTTTCAGTCCAGCCAGGCAAGGGGCACACTGCTGAGATGTAAGGAACACATTAGGGAAAAAGTTATTGCCCAGCAGCGATCAGATCACAAGGTCCACAGTGGCAGCACTCGTCCCCAAGCACACCACACCACTTTTCCTAAACTTACTGCTAATAAACTTCTGTCTTTAACTTTCAACACTCAGGAAGCATTTTTAGAGGATTTCCTGGATTTCATTGTCAACAGACTTACCAAAACCTACAACTATCTTACTAGTAAGACTTACCAGACTTACTATCATAATGTGGTAATTTACACTTAAATTTTATTTAAATCAAGTCAGTGATTTTTTTTCATCATAGCATCTATAATACACTCACTGTTGCATCCAAGAGAGCCTGCAACCCCCTAAAACTCTGATTAATCTTAAACTAACAGTTTCACCCTAGTAGGTGGCCTCTAAATAGCCTTCCTTTTGTCTTTCCATCATCAGTTAATATTTTGCATACAAACAGCTAGCAACATCAGATGAAAAGCTTCCAGAGTAAGACATCTTGCACATTACAAGAAAATTTATTTCTGTACCCTATTTCA